ATGACCCGCCAGTAGGATGAAAGATCATTGCCAGTACGCAAAGGAATGTCGCGAAACAGAGGGCGAAAGGGTACTTGCGAATAAAATCAATAACTTTTCTTTGATATCTATGGCCGGGAAAGCCTGCAACCTCTAAACTAGCCGAGGAACGAAAAAGAAAAACATCCTGATTGGCAAGAAACAATTGCCCGCATGAAATCCGTTAGGTGTAATTACCCTGTCAACCTCTCCCCAGCCATTCTTGGAACAATCAATCCAAATCCGTGCTTGATGCCCAAGATGGTTTGAAACACCATTGACAGAAAGAAAATGCAAAAGCAACTCTCGAGGCCAAATCGCTCAAAAATGCCCCGCATGCCGACGCTGGAATGAGCAAAGTATAGATAGTGGCAAAAAGCATCCGTAAGGTATGAGATGTCGTGATTTTGGTACGCGTCGAGACACTCGCGCAAAGAGCCAGCGATCTCGAGGAGAAAATAAAGCCAGGTGTTCGGGTGGATACGTTGCTCAGGGAAGCGGGTCGGCATCGGCAGCGACGATGTATCCCACTTGGAAGCTCTTGCGACAAATCGGGCAGCTTCGAAGGCTTGGGTCAGCGGAGATGTTTCCGAAGCATTGCTTGCAGGATCGATGACCTGTGGAAGGAACATGTCAGAACATGGCAGTAACGATTGCAGGATGTAGACTCACCGCAGATCAACACGCACCAGATGTGCTTGTCATCCTCGCGGCAAATAACGCAGCTTGACTCGCCAGCCTGGTAGTTGAGCTGCACGTTCTGCACCTTGCCACAGCAGGTACCACGATTGTCCAGGCAGGATTGGCAGGCAGCCTATCCGAGTTAGTGGCTGGATGTTGCGAGCTTGGTAGCAGACCTACATGACCACACTTGGTGAAGAGGTAAGGCTTCCCAGCATTCGGCTTCCGACAAACACAGTTGATGGTGGTGAGATCCCTGGCCGAGGCGTTCTGATGCTCGGCGTCGATGAATCCAGATTTCAAAGGACTCTGCGATTCTTCCTTCTTCACGGAAGGCGTGTCTTTGGCAGCCTTCGGAGGAGATTGCGAGTAGCTCGTCTTGCTGAAAAGTCTGCCGATGTTGTACTCTGGCTTAGTGACGCGATGACGGGGACTGCGACGAGGGCTGACAGCCGGGGTGACAGAGGCATCCTTTTGTCGGCGAGACACTGATACTTTCACGTCTGTGGTTCTTGGTTAGATGCGATTCGGACGAGGGATAGGTGGGAGCAGTACATGGCGACATGGCAGGCGATGTCAGAGACCGTGATATTCTGTCCGAGACGCCGTCGTATTGTGATGCTGTCCAGCGAACGAACGGTTCTGACGCCGGCTTCTAGCTGAACCTTGGGAGCGAGTTGAATGAGATAGAGAGCGAAGGAATGTAAGGTGGCGGCGACAATTGCCAACGAGGGTGAGTTCACGGGCCTGGGCGAACGACGCGCGACAGTCGACGGATTGCTGAGTAGGGAAGGAGGCGACGTAGATGCAGAACAACTGAGAAACAGTTTTTGTGGGAAGGGTTGCAGAGATTTTCGAGATTGGGCCAGGTGAGTTGGCCAAGAGGAAAGTGGAAGGAACGAAGGAGGTAGGCCCAAAAGGAGCACAAGGAAGGCGCGACTTGAAAATTTCAGACCCAGCGAAATTGACTACACCAGGAGACCAAGTCGGCTTGTACTTGAGCTTTTACTTTTAGCAGGTTAATGACTGTCCAGGGTGATCGGCTTACATTTGCCGATAACAGGTTGATGGAACGACTACGCCTTTGTGGTGATGATGTATCCTCACAATGGATCTCAAGTTGACTTGCACCCCTCCGGCAAAGATATGTCAAATGCATGCTAATACACCCCTGGTCTTTGTTGTATCCTACTAAGCAATCTGGAATCAAAAGTGAGCATGGAAACTATGGATAGCGCTTCCATCTGCAAAGATCAACTACTCTTCTTATGCCTGGATTTGTGTTGTTTGTGAGACGCTTGTCTTGCTAGGAGCAACCTTCCAAAGTTTTGAAACCTGTTGTTCTGTTTTACCAGCCCAATACTTCAGCAAGTGTGTGTCGAAACATCCCTCAATTCATGGCTCAAAATCGCGACATTTGGGATCTAATTTAATGTCATTTCACATGTTGGGAGTGATCAGCCTGCTCCACAATGCAATGTCACGACCTGAAAGATCAAAGCAAGGCTAGACAAATTTCTACGCGTAAGTTAGAACATCTGTTATACTTTGGAAGCCCGCGTTAATCATTGACCCTGATTCAATAGTCATCATCATTCGAGGAACTTTCCTTGCAATGTATTAATTATTGGCTGATGCTCAGGACCGCAAGGCTCGGTCATCCCTTCGTCCACAAGTTAACAATAAATCAAAGCGTCATTTTGAAAAGTTCATACTGGGAATGCGCACTCTACCCGTTGAAAACCACCTACATATCGCGAGCATGCACACAACGATCCGAAACCAGACCGCAGGTGACTTCACTGGCGCAGGTCGCACCGCGCATACTGGGAGGCTCCACGAGTTCAAACGCCTATCGCATGCAATCGTCATCCTAGAAAAGAAATCTCACTCTTGTTCAAACGGCATTAGCTGACCATGTTTGGTGGTTGAGTGGCGTCGGAATAGTGACCAGCTTGAAGTTCCGACCAGCCAAGTTTTGACCGGTCCGGTGTCGGCGCTTGCCATGCTTCTTTGCCATTCGGTTTCCATCACCGTTATGGCTTGGCTAATTGACGATGAGATGCCATGTTCACTTGATGCAATGGCCTGGGGGTCTTCGGCTCACACGGCCATTCTCGGAAGGTCACATCATGCCGCGGGGTTTTGACAAATCTCACGTCGTATCTCCGAATTAGCACGCCACGATCGGTGCATTCTGGCGGGCCCAGCTCCCCGAATGATTCCTACAAGACCAGCATGTTAAAGATGCCACGAAATTTCTCCGTTCGTTGCCACATCCCTGTGCAGGATTTCCGAGTCACCCAAACCGCTCAGGTCATGTTCGCAAGTCTTCGGCCCCACATTGGGGGGTGGATGTCGCCCAAATGCTGTCGGTGAGGGGTCAATCAATCACAATCACTTTCTTGGCTGCTTCCTTGGTCAGAACGTTTGTTGCTACGTTACAGCAAGGGAACGTTAGCTAAGTGGCTTGACAAAGTCCGAACTTGCAGGCACTTTACAAAAGACTTAAAGGGAGCGTTGGAGCCCAGCGACTCTGCCGATTGTCCTGCGTCTCTCCTTTGCGCCGAACAATAGCATCCACCTCGTCAAAATGCGCGATTTTGTCAAAGCGACTGTTTACGCGCGGATATATGTAGTTTTCGCGTTGATTCTTGCTCCCCTTCAAGCATTATGCCAATCTGATGGCAATGTCAAGAGCATCTATTTATTCAAAGACGTCCTTCAATCTAATACATCAGCTTTGAAAACCGCTGGATTCGATACGTTGCTCATATTCAGGATTGGCGTTCTTGAAACCGGAGATTTGGTGTATTACTCCACGGGAGATGCTGGAGAAGCTGTCGATGCTCCGGTAGTGACAGCCGGATCATACGTGGGAGGAGAAGCGTTATCCGAAAAGATCCGCTCCTTCAAAACAGGAACTACCCACATCAACCGAGTCGAGATATCATTGGTGTCCCACGACACCACCTTCCAGAATATTCGGAGCCTTATCAACAGCAATGGAACCGGATCTGACTCTGTCTTGTATCAGGGTTTCCAAGCTTTGAAGACAGAATGGAATCTAGATGCGTTCAACAACGACGACGAAAGCGTATATGATGTTGCAAGCACTGTTAGCTTCGCTCAGCTTCTCGGCACGATCGGCTATCGGTACTCCATCGCGCCGTACACAAACAGTGGCTTTTGGGCCACCATAAAGAGTCAGATCGACGCTGCTGAGGCCGGTCTGTTCGATCGGGTTTACCTTCAAGTGTATGATGGAGGAGCGGGCAACAATCCGGGAAGTTGGCAAACAACACTTGGTGCTAAGGTAATCATCCCCTTGGTGTGGGTCATAAACGATGCGAAGCCATCACAAGGAGTAACCCCAGACCAAGCACAAGGAATGTTTTCAACATGGGAACAGCAGTACGATGTCGCAGGAGGGGGCTACTGGAATGACTATGACATTGAAAAGATGAATTCATCTTATGAGGAGTACGGAGATGCCCTGTTGACAGTGTTCGGCTAGGTCCATCTGTTCCCGTTCCCATTTTAGACCTCATTGGTAAAAAGCCTTAGCTTATCTCGCCCTGTATAATTTCAAGTATTCCCAGTCTACGCTTTAAGTTTTGTGCAGCCTTGCCGAAGCCCACCCAAAGTACTTTGGCATTTGGGAATAGACTGCAATAGACTCTCTTATGAAAACAGTGTCTGAAATCACAATTGCTGGATATATGTCGTTAGGCTAGCCGACCAGATATTGGACCCACGAAGCCCCAGAAGCACCTGCAGGCGAACCATGAAAGGGTTGCAACCGTACAGCAACGTGATACCTGGTGAAGGTGTCGTCACTGACCGTTATCCCATATTCAGTGAAGTGGATCAACATGATCCATCCCCTCATTTCGATTATCGGCAAGGAATAATCGAGATCAAAGGAACTTTTGAGGACCTTCAAGGATCGGCGCCATCTTCTCTGGATCTGAGTGACGGGTTAACGTTGCTGCGCTTGAGGCTACAACAATTGGCCTCCTGTACCTTGGCCGGGTTTGCCATTCTCCGCTGACATTCATAGCGTTGGTAAACTCGGACCTGACGCAATGACACATGGCACTAGTCATTGCCCTACGCCAGCTTGGAAGCCTGGTTTCACTCAAGCAGAGGTGAACGGGAGAGCCCCCGATATTGGAAATCAAGTCGGAAACGTCACAGATTCTGGGACAACATTGAGGAATCTTCGTGTGATTGGTACGGCCGCGCCGGAAAGCTATGTAGCCGGTGACAGAAATCAAATCTTCCAAAAATCAAGCGAATCATTCGGAAGAGGATGAAGTAACAGCCGTATCGACAATCTTCCATGTATGCTCCTGGACTTGCTGGATTTGATCAGCAGTCCAAGTGGGCTTGTTTTCAATCAATGATCCCTTGCTGTCAATACAAGTCCAGAACTTGCCGTCTTTCTCGTTCATAGCGGAAACCTCTACCAGACCGGTGAGTAGGTTCGTGGCACATTCCTCTGACGTGATGCCAAGAATTTGACTGAAAACCCTGGTAGGCGCTCTCAAATACCAAGGCAAAGAGCCAAAGAGCTCAGTCTTAACGATACCAGGATATGCGTGTATAAAATGGCGCTTCTTCGTGTTCTCCTTTGTCTGCTGTTTCGCGTATGCCTGGATCATCCCATCCGTCATCGAGATACAGTGAGCCGCTGCATTGGCTATGCTAAAGTTGGCAGATAAATCCAGATCGGCCATGTTCAATTGTGCCGGATCGCCACGGGATCCATCGAGTACGATGAGAACCTTCGCATCATCCGTCAATACAGGCAGGAGCTCGCGAATCAGGAGTTGCCGGCCGTAATAGTGCAGCGCCATCTTGCGGTCAATACCCTCAGACGTCTCCGTACGTCCAGCAGTAGTGAGAATGCCCTGCGTGAGGACAAGAAGGTCGATTTTCGGGGCATGAGAGGACTTATAGGACTCCGTGTACTGCTTGATCAATCTCATGGACGACGCATCGAGCTGGCGAAATTCGATATTGGCATGGGGAATGATTTGAGGTCGGGTACGTCCGCTGATGATCACAGTGGAGGAGGCGTTCGCCGCGAGGTGGCGGGCGATAGCATAACCGATCCCGCCTGTGCCTCCTACGATGAGGGCTCGGGTTTGCATCGTGGCAGTGCGCGCGTGTCTCTTATATTGAAGTTGATGATCAGACAGAGCAGGAATCTTGCAGTGTTGTTTTGAAGTTCCTGATTGCAGGGGTGCAGTGTCCTAATAAGATGGATCTGCAGCCTTACTCAATTATTCCATGCCGGAACGCGTCGAGATACGGCCATCCGTGTACAGCCATTGGCCCGACCCGTCCGGAGCCCCACTTGCCCACCCCTGCCCGACTCGGAAAAATCGACGCGTTCCCTGGGATCTCTGATTGGCCGGGATTGACTTCAGTGTCTCCACCTTCAATTGAAATCTCGACGCGTTCCGAAATGAAACCTCTTCTCCTGACTGATGGTTCGTGAACTTGAACGAAGAGTAGTAGGTCAACAGCCTTTTGCTATAGAGAGAGAAAGAAAACGAAGAAAAGTAAGCAAGAGAGATGAAGGAAAAAAAGTTGAAGGGAAGTAACAATTAAGAAGAAAGCAGGGGGAAAAAAAACCATCTTCTATTACACCTCTATCATTGGAGAAGAACGGTTGAATTAGTTCCTGGTGAACATGACTCTCCCATCTCCCCCTCCGTCGTCGCCGCAGCCCGGGCCTATGGTACCGCACAGCTTGACGGACAAGCAACGCCGGCGCCTAGAAGCCTTGCAACTACATTTAAACGAGCCTGAGCCGGTCCTTATCTGCCGGCCTTGCGGCTACGCCTTAAAGCCGTTCGGGGAGCGCGTGAGCCGCCACCTCGCCGAGAAGCATGAGGTTCCCAAGCCACAACGCCGTGGACTGAGCGCTTTAGTGAAGTCCCTACATCTAGGGGACCCGAACGACGTGGCCCTCCGTCCCGACGGCCTCCCACCGCACGAGACGCTGACGGTCACCCGCGGCCACGCCTGCCGCCACTGCAGCTACCGGACGGCGAGCGATGACCTAACATCACGTCCACGATGAACTTGAGTAGAGTTCATTGAAACGGCCAGCCAAATTAAAGTGGGCCCGCGAAGGCACGGGGTAGGGTTCATTGAAAATAGGGTAGTAGAGTTCATTGTGATTTTCAGCCCCAAAATAA